ATAATTAAAAAAAAACCTGACATCCCTAAGGCATCCTCCAGTCAAGGCAGCCTCTGCGCTGCCTCTCAGCCACCCTTTGTTGCCTCTTCCAGTTTTTCACTTGCAACAAGGAAAATAAACCACAGAAAGCCCTCTTCTTAATGGCCTGCCACTCTGCATACGTCACACTCTCAGCTGTTGGAGTGCAGGAACAATGACCCCAGAGCATCAGCTGATGGAGTGAAAGTAACTGCCAGGGACACCGGGATGGTGGCTCAGGGCTGGGGGAGGGGGAAGAAACTTGGGAGAGCTGGTGAGAGAGGAGCCTCAGAACAGGAAGAGCATAGTGAGGGAGATGCCTGCAGGCTGCAACTGATCCCTAGGACACAGGAGCAGGATGCTAGTTTCTCCACACTGCAGTCCTTGGCAGCCTGTCACATTGTCTGTTGCTGCCACTGTACTGCTGAGCCACTGGACACAGTTAGGGCTGATTGCTTAGAAGAACTGGATGTTCAAATTTAATGGACAGAGGTATGTGTTCTTTGCAGGAGATCTCTGATTTATTGTTAATTTGTTGAACACATCCCAAAATGCCAGTGAGCTAATGGGAAGTACTATGCAATAGTTTATGGACTTTGTTTTTTTTTTTACCAAAAATCTATCAAATTGCTGACATTTATCATTTTGACAAATTGGAGATGTGTAAAATTAACTGGTTTAATTAGTAGGCATATCCCAGGGGAGCGGATTATTAAACTGCTATCTTCCTGGAGAAGGGCTCTTGGGGCTTTATCCTAATCCTTAGTCAACATTAGGCCTTATCTGAATGAAATTCCATCAGGAAAGATGGCTCTACAACAAATGTCAGACAGAGCAGGAATCAGGAACACCCTGACCTTTAACTGAGTACCCCAAAGCTGAACTCCAGAGCTGTCACAGAAACTGTAAGCAGTGTAGTACAAATGGCTCAGGAAAGAGAGGCGGGGCTTAGGCAAGGCCGACCGGAAGGAAATGCACATTTCATCTTTAGCTCCAAACTGATTTGGCAGGATAGTGGGACTGATAAAAGGCTGCTGTGATCTTTAGCTTTCTGTATAAAGAAGTATGCAAGGCAGCACAAGTCAGGCTCTGTACCACCTCTGACTAGCCAGCCACGTGCAGTGGAGAATTGCCTTTGAGCTACCCATGGTGGGGTGGGGACAAAAACCTTAAGAGGAAGTCTCCTCCTGTCTGCCTTTCTCGACACTTTTTATCACACACATCCTCTTGCCTTCACCAAAACCAGATTGGTTGTAGCTAAAGCATGAAGTACTTAGGCTATTAAATGCGCCCCACTAACACCCACCTGTTCCCATCCACATTGGAGGTTTGCTCAGTACTGGTGTAATTCAATTGTTCAGTTGTACTCTCCCGTGCTGAGATGCTACTGTCTCAGTCTGACCAGTGGGATGACTTTTCCTGCTGGGCCAGGCAGATGTCATACCACAGGAACCATTCCCATAGCTAAGTGGCTTTAGACGGAGCAAGCTTTCAGGTGAGTTTCAAGCATATCATAAACTCCTTGTTTGGACTTTCCTGGGAGTGTCATTCACTGATGTTCAGAACGTATTGCCAGTCATGAGGAAACCTTCAGTAAAACATGCTGAGGAACAGAAAGGTGAACAGTCAGCTGGGTTCAGGAGCCCAAAAGTCCCACAAGATATAAGGAGATATTAAGTTGAAAGTATTGGACTGGTTTAGCTCAGTCTCTGTTTGCAGTGTACACACGTACAGATAGACACACACAGAAAGGAGCCCCGAAGGACCAGGAAGACCATAAGGAGTCTACTAAGGACAGCTCAAACAGATCTTGACAGCGTGCCCTGAAGCTAGGTGCTCTAGTGATGCAGACAGAGTTAGACTGGGGTTTGCCACAGTTCTTTGAGATTGATATGGAAAATACTAGAATGCCTGCATCTTTTGGAATATCTTTTTTCTTCAGTAAGAGCTTTACTGACCTATCATGTGCTTGAAGATGCAGTTCATGGGTTTAGCATGGAGTGGGACACGCATGCTTCATAGAACATTTCCGTCACCCTTCACCACAGGCTCTACCTCCCATCCTCGCCAGCTCTAAGCACTCACTCTTTCTCTATGTATCCGACTTTCCTTATTTAACTGTTTTTGGATATTTCTTGTCAATGGGATCTCATACTATATAGTCACCAGCTTCTTTCCCTTGCCGTGTGTTCTGAGTACAACCATGTTGACCCTATGTCAGTATGACATTCGACTCTAGAGTGACTAATAATCAGTATGTGTTTGCCATTTTAGTTTCTGTTCACTAGTTGATGGGCTATTTCTGGGGGTTATTTCTGGTGTTTGGCTTTCGTGAATCATGGTGCTGTGAACCTCTGTGCTTCTGGGGAGTTTCTGTGGTTGCTTCTCTTCGTATATCTTTAGGAGTAGAGCTGTGATAGCTCTGTGGTTAGCATTTCCTTGGGAACGTCTAGACTATTTGGAAAGTGGATGATCATCTTGCTCTCTCAGCAGAGGGTCTTCACTTCCCAGCAGAACACAGTACTGTTCTGCTGGAGGATATGAAGCCACACTGTGGCTCACACTTGTATTCCTTTGACGATGGCATTGGCCACATGAGGACTTATGGGCTATTTTATAAGTTCTTTTGGAGAAATGCCTATTCGGTGTCTTTGCTCGTTTGGGGTTTGGATATCTTATTGAGTTTTAAGAGGTGTTTATATATTCAGGCTGCAATTCCTTTATCAGGTGGTTTGCACCTATTTCTCTTTTTCTTTGGGATATCATCTTTAATATATATATAGTGTTTTCTAAAATTCACAATTTTTATTTTTTATTTTATTGATTGTGAACTTGGCATCATATCAGTAGCTCCCTTGGCCAGATCTGAGTTCATGGAGATTTGCCCATTTTCTTTTTCAGTAGTTTTTGTGGTTTCACCTCTTACATTTTTCGTTTCAGCTTAACTTTAGTGTGCTGTGAGTTCAGAGTTCACTCTCCTCTTTTGTATGTGACTACTACCTGTCCATCCCTGTTTCCTAAAGTGACTGTTCTTTCTCCATTGAGTAATATTCACACTTCTGTTAAAAGGCAATTGACCTTGTAAATAAAAGAATATAAATATATGGGTTTGCTTGCATGGGTGGTAAATTTTGCCTGATGTAATCAATGTGTCTGTCTACCTTTGCAATAAAACCACACTGTCTCAATCACTTTATTTCCCTGGAACATTTTAAACTCCTGCTCTAGCTATTCTGACAATTCAAAATTATATAGTGCTCCAGACTGCTCAGTGCTTAAGTCAGGCGCTTCGTTCACATCTAGTAATAGAAAAGGAATGGTGCTCTTCTTTGACTGTATGTGTGATTCTGAGGACTAAACCTAGACCCTTGAGCATGCTATACAAGTGCTCTGCGGCAAACTGCATCCCCAGCCCTGAAATACTGTTTCTAATATGCATAAAAAAAACCTGACCTGTAGCCAGTGGCCTTGAATGATTAAATCTTGCTCATCTTTCTGACTGATTCAAGAGTTTCCTGTGCTTGGCATTGACAGAGAAGCCAAGAGGTTTGCAATTAGAACTTACATATAAATCGAAGTGAATGCAGGAGCCTGGGAGGAATCTGACGTGAAAGGGAACAATGGAATTCACTTACCCAGGAGTGCTCCTCCAAAAAAGCCTGGCCCTCCCACTCTGTGTGATTGACAGAGGAAGACAACCCGTGATTATGTGTCTCCTGATATTTTTAGATTTATTTTAAAAATCAGGAAGTAACAATGTAGCTGACTGCATTGCAAACAAAGGCAGCCTCTCTCCCTTGAAGACTGTCAGTGAAAGTAGTTGTATCTTACTATAATACAGCCTGCTGAGTCTGCAGCAGAAGAAAGCAACACTCAGAAATTAGGATATATCCAAAGAGCAACAGTAAATATAATTTTGGGTGGCTCACCTTCTGCTCACAATTGAATGTTAAAAAACCAAACATAATAGAATTTGTCTGCTAAAATAATTGAGAAGTCCTGGTCTTAGTCAGCAGCTATAATTCATTATTCATATTCACACAAATATGAATAAACTCATCCCTCATTGTTCACTCCATTCCTCTCCCCCATCACCACCCCTATCACGGTGTCCTGTGTGAAAAAGTGTCCAGGGGCTAGGGAGGCAGCTTCTTAATAAGAATACTTGTTGCTCTTCTAGAGGAGCGAGTCTGGTGCCTCAAACTTCCTGTAACTCCAGCTCTGGAGGCTCCAAGGCGTCTTCCAGCCTCCACTGGCACCCACACACATGACCTTCAGACGCACAGCACGCTCACACAGGTATAGACAAATATTTTTAAATATGCTACATATTCAGTTCTGAGATTTTTTGCAGGTGTGAACTGGGGCAGAGAGGCATGCGAGGTGAGAGAAGGGCTGGGCAGTGACAGGATGTGCAAGCAGATGAGTCAGGGCAGATGAGGGGCTTGTCTCCCCACACTTGCCTTCATTTCCACAGTGGGGCAAAGATGGACTGAGATGGGGTTATCCCCGAATGCCCTTGGGTCCTGACGGTCACACCACCACACCCTCCTTTCTATGGGAAAGTCGATTGAGTCATGCCAAAAGCAAGAATTTATATGTTCTTTTCATATAAATATTGAGGGTTTCTTTATCTCAAATGTAGGTAACAGTTACTTGGTTTTAATTGTAATACAGTAATTTACAGATTTATCTGTCACAAACTAGAAAGACTTTGAGAATAACAAGTAAATTGATCTATATTTGATCCAACAACACTAACATGGCTGTTATTTCAGAGGAAAAGGGTGTGTGTGTTTTGAGTATCGCCAGCACTTTTGCCCATTTAGAAGTTAAAACTACGGCTTCTTTTAAAAAGAATGTGGAGTTGAGTGTGTGCTCCACGGGCCAGCGGTTTTTACAGTAAGCTGACAAGAGTCTTTCACAGCCTGTCCACATGCATGCCCTGCCCCCAGACACTCTTTCTTTCTCTTTGGTTACAGGCCAAGAAGGAAGAGAGAATCTCAGCATAATAACACTTGAGCAGAACACATTACAGAACTTAGAAATACTTTTCTGGACAGCCATTTCTCCAAGGTAAATACTGCCATTGCAGGAAGAAGGGAACACGTGATTTGTGGTTTCAGACGATACTGGGACAGCACAGAGATCTGATGGGCCCTTCTGCTGCAGACTAGGTCTATGTGAGTGAAAGGGGGAGAGAGAAGAAAGGGAGGCTGTTACTTCCGTCTGCAGCCTCACTAACTGTATCACCAAGAGAACACCATCTCGCCCTGGGAGGTCATGGGACTGGTCAGCAAGTGTGTGGGAAAAGAGGGAGGGGAGAGAGTCCTTGTGTTTAGACTGAAAATAACATGCATTCCTTTATGATGAAATAGTTGAAGGATTCTAACTAGAGGACAAATAAAGTATATGTTCTATAAATGTCATACAGGTGGTCCTGGACCATTATGTTTTACACCAACTAAGACTTAACAAGAAAAAATAATTAAGAAATCTCTGGGTATTTTTTTTTCCTGAAAATGCACTCTAAGTTAGGCTTTCAGTGGTTCATACAAAATGCTTTATAAACATCTCATTTTGGAAGATAATGTCCTTAATACCTCTTCTAAAGAGGAACTGAGGGGGAGACATAGGCAGACCTCAGAACCCTAGTGGAGTGGGCCAGCCTCGTCTTGCATATCCACAGGAATAGCTCCAGGCTCTCCCTTTGTGAATCATAAACTTAGCAGGCACCTGTGCTGAAAGGCAACAGTAGAGCCCATTCTCAGTTCCAGCACTCGTGACTCAATTCCTGGACCTTAATACAAGCTGCTATATCATTTCTGTGAAATTCCTCCTTTGCTATTTAGTTTGTAGCAAAGGGATATTTTCACTAGACCCTGAGATGTTCCTCACCCTCCCTGGCTGTTCTCGGAAGGGTTGGGGGAGTGTCTGCTGTACATTGGAGGAGGATTTTGTGATACTATTCATTCTCGGCTCTGACAGAGAGGACATTGTTTGCTCACTGTAATGGTCTTGGCAGGGCTCTGTGCTGTGCATACAGAATGGGAGCAGAGCAGTGGGAACTGCTGAATTCTAAGAAACACATCAGCTTAGGGAGTTTTTAAAATACATTTTAATAGCTTCTCATTACCAAGATGCAAGTTATAATTTGGGCAACCGTTTTCCTTGGTTCCTTTCTTCACACTGCATTATGCATGTATTACATAAAGGATCCTTATGAGAGCAGGGTGCCCATCTACGTTGTGGCTTCAATCATTTCAGTGCTAGAAATTCAGAAAGGCTTCCTGCGCGTTCCAGACAGCCTCGAGGGTAGCTCCTTGTACATCAGTGCTCCTATCAGTGCCAGCAGTGTCAGCTTGGAGCTCATGGGGACAATCATCTGCCACCAGATTAGAGAAACAGCATATCTGAGATGTTCAGAGAGTAATCAGTGTATGGCAGGGGACACAGAGAGAGAGAGTGCTCACAACTTTAAAGACGCCAACTTTAGAAAAAAAAAGTCTCTGTGTAAAAGAAGGGCGGGCACTAAATCTCAGGGACAGTGTATGTGCCTCGTGTGCATGAGGATGCACGTTTGAGCCCAGCAGTTACAAACCACAGTAATAACAATGACGGTGGTGGACACGCTGAGGCAGAAGATAGAGGAGTGCATTAACGTGACAGTGTTTGAGACTAAGTAACAGATACCAATAAAAAAACTAAGTTCTTCAACCTTCTCCTCTTTTTTTTTATTCCAATTGGTGCATTTTAGATTGCTTGTAATATAAAATTTTATATAAATATACGGGATTGCTGAGGGTGTGAGGTAGAATATGGCACTGAATGAGGGCATTTGAAAAAGACTGGGCCAGCTGCTCCTGCCTGTGTCATGAGGTCTGTGAAGGTGCTGTTTGGGTGGCAAGGATATCTACAGAGGACCTGCTGGCCCATTATTGACTCTAGCATCCAAGAGAAACCCATTTTTTTCTCTTGAGTCTGAAGCCCACCATTGGACTCCAGGCCTGAGCAGTGTCACTGCTATTGACACCTGGCTTTCCACACCTGTGAGCACAGCTCATCAAAAAGGACAGGGGTAGGAGCTCACAGGCAACCAGATCCGTGGAGGAACCCTTATTAAATGGTTCGCTGTGAACTGTCCTGAAGGGAGGAGAGTAAGGGTCTTGTGTGAACTTAGTATAAGTCATCCTTATCCCTGTGAAGAGAGATCTGTATGAAGGGAAGCTATCCTAAAGTCTTAAGGGTGGTTTCTGTTTAACAGACACATCATGGCTCCTGGAAAGGGAGGGGCAATTGGCATGGCTACCCTGTTGTGATTCTTAGGATGGCCATTTTACTAGAGATGAAACACAAGTTCAGGGTCCAGCAGCTGTGGGATCTGGGCTTAGCATGCATTTAACCTACCATCATAGGGGCCCCTGGACCATCCCAGCTGAGCTGGAGCTAGAAACACACAGCCACCTCCACAGAGGCATGCACAGTATGTTACCTCATCATGTTTGGAAACACTGCCTTTGTCTGACTGTGTTTATCTCTGTAGAAAAACAATTCATAATCTTCTTCTGTCTAAAGTGAGCCCGTGATAGTGATCATTAAAAGACAGAATTCCAGACATTTTTTTCATGGCCCTCATGGTACACTGTACCACAGGCCTGCACAGGATTCCCACCAGACCCAGTACCCTCTCACTGGGAACTGAGCTCCTTGCTACACCGTGACTTGCCACCTTCAAGAGCACTCTCAGCTGAGGCTGATGTGCCAGCAGATAAGATGTAGCCATTTCTGTCCCTCACCTGATTCCTGTGGTCTCATCTGAACCCAGACCCTCCCCAGGTATGTTCAGAGGACTCTTAATAGACGTGATTCCCCGACCATGGCCCCAGAAGAGAACGGTTTTGAATTTATAATCAGACATGTTTTGCAGGTATGAATTAGAGAGGATTTACCTGCTAATGACTCTCTAAAGTGAGGTATAGACTATAGAGCTTCCTAATTCGTGTATTCTTTGTGGTGGGGAGAAGAGTTACCAGCCTCTCTTGGGTGGTGCCATCTTTAAGAAAAGAAGAGAAAAGAGACTCTCATGGCATGGAGACAAGCCCTATGCTGAGGAAATGATAAACTCCTTTTGGGATCCCTGCCTTCCAGGCAGACTTTGAGATGATAGCCACTGGGACCTGCCATTTCTCATTTGTAAAATATGCCAGATAGAACTGAACTGTCTCTAAGGTCTTTGCATCTTTATAAACTTGGGACCATTGATAGCCTGCCGTATGCTAGGAGCACACTCACAACACAGGGAAAGAAAAGCATGGCAGGAGTAAACTGAGGTATAGGAAACAGGAGGAGGGGGGCTGTTAGGATAAAGGTGAAATAATTCTACAAAGTCCTTTTCTGTGTGTTTTAATGAACAGTTTGAAAAGGGAATTGTGTTCATTGCTTTATGGTTAATGATGTTCTAAACCCAAACAATCAGACATTCCTGGGAGAAACAACTGATCCTAGTTCTGAGACCAGAATTTCTCCATGATCTGTTAGGCAGTAATTTGGGTTCTGCTTCAAGAAGATAAAGAAGTAATCTCAGGCAGGAATCTAAATATTAGGCTAGAACAAGGAAGTAGGCTTCAGACATGAAATGACTTTTGGGCTAGGACAGGGAAGTAGGCTTAGATATTTTGGTCATCCTGATAAGCCGTTAGAAACAATGATCACAGGAGTGTTCACAGAATTTTGTTTATGGTCTTGCATGTTCTTTGACTATTTGTGGCTATTGTCTTGCTTGGTCCTTGACTATTTGCATCTATTGTATTGCTAGTTCCTCAACCTAGAACTGACCTGAATACTTGCATGTAATTCAAATGGTATAAAAGCAAAAAGGAGGAGGGGAATGGGATAGGGGCTTCTAGGGATAGAGGCTTCTAGGGAAAGGGGATGACATCTGAAATGTAAATAAATAAAATATCCAATTAAAAAAAGAAGAAGATAAAAATTTCAGTAGATGTGAGTCACGGGTAGCTGTGCACACATTGTCCTCATTGTCCTAACACACCAGCCTTGCTTGGTGTGTGGGATGCTTGAGTCTTGGCTGCCTGAGCTCTGAGGTGTTCTCCAGAACCTGATCAGCTTTTGTTAGAAAGCCCCAGGTCCCTGGTGCAGTCCTTGTAAATGCCATCAGTGGGAAAGCATGCTAGCCTGACTTTCCACCTGCCCATGTCCCCAAGACCCCATCTTCTTTCTCTTCACCTTCTGTAATGTCTTAGAGTGCCCGGCCCGAGCAGTGAGTTCTTCCTGGCAGCTGCACCATGAAAATCACTGGGATTCAACATGCCCCAGGAGTTGTAAACACTTTAGAATACTAAAGGTTCAGACTTCATTTCTGTTTTTATAGTGTTTGATAGATGACATGATGAGCTAAATATTTAAGAAAATTATAATGTTTGAGAAAGTGTTTTAGAACGTGCCACAGGGAAAGGTGGTTGAGCAAGCACACTTAATGGTTAGGGTTTGTGCAAACATTTAACATTCCCGTCTCAGTTGTCTGTCGTTTTCAGTATTAGTTAAATGTGGTTTCCTTATACATATAATGAATAGCAGATTGTTGACAGAAGACATTAGGAAACATTGCTGTTACCACATTAGTACTTATAGTCGTGTGTGCAGAATTGGTACAGACTAGTCATGTTACAAAACTTTAATCCTGAAAGTCAAAGGAAAGGCCATACTTTTAATGAAGTCCAGGAAAACTGTTGAAATAAAGTTTATATTTGTTGTAATTGGAATCTTACCACTCTTTTGTTTTCAGATTTATTTATTTTTATTTTCTGTATGGGAGTGTTTTGCCTGCATGTATATTTGAAGAATGTGTGTGCTTGGTTTTCAGGGAGGCCAAAGGAGGGTGCCACATGCCCTAGAATTGGAGTTGTAGGTGATTCTGTTCCCCGACCCTAGATGCTAGAATTGAATCTGGGTCCTCTGAAAGAGCAACAAGTGTTCTTAACCGCTGAACCATCTCGCCAGCCCCCAAATCACAGGTGTGCTTGTTTGTTTGTGCAACATCAGGGATTGAGCCCAGGGTT